GTATCCAATACAGCTGATAAAACTAAAGTTCGTACACTAGAAAAACATACGGGGAGTGCTGGGGGCCTACTGATGAGTCTAATTCCGCGCGCAGTGGCATAAGATCAGCCAGACATGCATGTTTGGGCTTTTAGTTAGTATCTGTGTTTGAGTATGGTAAATAATAACGCCATGTATACTATTGACTGCCTGTTGGTAGTTTGTGAATGTTATGCTGGTGGATTTCAGTTCATCTGTTCATAATCAAGGTTCGGACCAAGCCCGAAAAGGTCCCTTCCGAGGAGTTTTCTCCAAGTTCGCACATTAATTTACTCGCAGATAAAATGAGACAGGAGGCGCACTGTCAACTGGATCGCACGTTTATAAAATTCAGAAAGGCAGTTAGGCTTATAAGTTCTACTTGGGGTTGGATAGGCGTGGTGCAACCTAATGTCCACCACCATGGCAAACTGCAAAAATAAACGTTGGGAAGACGCACTTTATAGCAAACCGTTCGAGTATCCTTTGACTCAGTACCCGTCGTATCGTGTACGTCAATTCCCAATGGTAACAACAATTTGTATAGTACGTTACTATTAAATAAACAGTGAAGAATAAAAAATATAGCAAAATCACTTGTGATTACAAGTAGATAATCATGAAGGAATCGGCCAACTATAACGCCTGGCTCTAGACAAAGAAGCAACACGTGTTCGATAACGTCATACGCGTGCAGGACGAAGCGAGAGCTAGTGTTGGTTTCGACCAGCCAGGCCTGAGAGAGAGCGTATGCGAGTAAGAGAAGTGTTAGGTGCTTTTATGTGACTGCAGTGCAAGTTCAAGTGGTGTGCAATTGGTGTGTTGCATTGCCCGAGGGGGGTGTGGCGTATAACGCCCATGCTCGGTCGGCTGGGGGCTAGCGTGTTCAAATTATCCTTAGGAAACCGGGACAGTCTGGATGCGGATGTGTGTACGCAGTCAAGATTTTTCAGGTCGGCGTGTCGGAAACGCTCCCTGAGAAGTCACATGAAGTTGAGGCAGCGGACATTGAACAAGTGAGCCGGAGGGAACTGTTGGCTGTCCTGCACAAACACTTAAACAATACAAGCATGACGCCGTTTTCAAGGTCAACCGATGTGAATGCATGGAGAAAAACGGGAAGGGAACAATAGCCTGCAGCTCAGACAGAATTCCACGGCAGATGGACGCGGAGAATTTCAAAATTGCTAATCCGCAGATAACAAACATTTTCAATTAAGCGACAGCGAACAAATAAGTGTAACCGGCGTTGGTGTGTTTGAGTGACGAGCGTTGGCGAGAGACAGGTCTACATAAAAATGGAGTCATCATCAGAGTCGACAGAAAAGTGATGGACGCACACAGCTACCGGCATGTCTGACCATCAGAGCCGACGTGGTCTTGTAACACTTGGTCACAAGCTTTGCGTGTCTTCACAGTCCATTGGAGAGGGGCTACCCGGTAGAGTATGGATATGTGTAAATCCACCCCCGCCCCGAGGTACCTTTCGACAAAGCGCTTCTTCAGTTAATTTAAATAATCATGTGACAGGAATACGTTTGTTTTCTATTGCTATATTTAAGAACAACATGCCACCTCTCTTCTAAAGCCTCTATTACCAACACGACCGTACTACAGTTTTCTCTGCGCCATAGGTCAGTGAGTACCCGTATACGTGACCGACGGAGTCAGCCAGTACTCATCCATCTTATGAATAGCAAACGCCTCCAGTCGCACCATGACAGGAAGGTCGTAGTTACTATCCACGACACCTCTCATTCCATGTTGACAGTACGTCATATAGGCAAGGGAAAATAATAATAGTGAACTGGCTATTAGCTTCGGTTGTTGTCAGTGTCTTTAAGGAATATTTTGAGAAGCCTTGCTTAAAAGCAGTCCTGCGGCGACTAGCTTACCACTGTATCAGACACTTTGGGTGAAAAATATCGACTCTTATCTAAAGAGTGATGGACTAGGGTTAGGGTGGTCGCTACAGGGCAATTAGACGTCGCCGCCTAGTGATGCTATCGGAGGTCAATTCAATGAATAAAATAGACAAACTCAAATGTGTGTTGCACCATCCCCTTAAAGTTAAATCAGTTAACCAAGGGAACGCATTTCCACGGAGTTTGGCGTGGGTATCGTCAGTCGACCGGCAGCTGATATACTTAACGAGATCACACAGACGAAGGACAGACTAAAGGCAGATGGATAATTGGGTATAGCTCATCAAATATCATGCCACGGCTGTCCCGTTCAGTACGCAGGCTAGACAGCACGCCGGCCCCGTTGGTGAATGCCTGAGCACGCGGATACTAGCGTGAGCCGGAAATAAGACGAGACGAAAACTACTGACGGCTTGGATGTCTGATGCGATCTGCATAAGCTCACGTGGTCCGATGGCGCAGCAAGTCCCCAGACAACGACCACACGGTTGTAACAGCTAAACCGTGTTTGTGCTCCGCATGCCAAAATTACCAGGTCAAATTGCCGGTTGTAGGAAAGGAAGGGAGGCACTCCCAGGTTGAATTAATTGTTGACGGCATTTCAGCAGCACAGCAGTGACCACTCACGAGGTCAAAACAAGTGTTGCCTGGGTCCAGTCATACCCGAGAGAGAAAAGGCAGTGGCAAGTGCTTTACCAGGTTTCTGCTACAGGTTCAAGTGTAGTCTAATTGGTACGCGTTGCATTACTTGAAGGGAGGGAGTGTCTAGTAGTTCATTTTACTTCGGCTGTAGGGTGGTGACTACCTGGACGCAGTGGTGTCGCTGTCTGAGAACACTCACTGCGGAGGTGACTGACCTTGAGGCAGCGGGCCTCGAACAAGCACAGCAGAAATGGTAATGTTTGCTGTGGGTAACATGTCACACTCCTGTGAGACCACCGTGATTTAGACGGCGTGAGCCAGACCCAGTCACGGACGTGACACCTTCCAAAATTGTTTAACTACACAACGATGCACTGGCTGTTGCCCCCCTCATATTTTCAAAGGCTGATCTTCAGTACGAGTCCGAAAGCTCATACTATTTAAGTGATCGTATAGTATTATTATTTGGAGAAGTAAATGGTCATTAATGGCTTATTTATTGTGGTTGAATAGTTCGATCTTTACTCCATGTTGGGCACGCTTCACGCCATGAGTTTAATCACACTTGGATCGATATTACCCGCTCA